CTCAAAAACTATTGGGAGAGACAGCCTACAAACAACCATGTACACATAAGAAATGTTTGGGCTAACTTGGAGGCAATCTCAAAGGGAAGGGAGCAGCATGAATGGGGCCTGGGAAAGAAAGATTTCCTACAGAAGGTGACAGTTGAGCAGAGACTTCAGGGATGGCAGGAGGGAGAGAGGAGAAGGAAGAGAATCCACAGCAACAGGGAGAAATGCATTCACTGAGCTGAGAGATGAGTCTGAAATGAGAAGCAGCAAAAAGGCCAGTGTCTTTGGGGTTAAATGTCACTGGCTCGGGATGCCTTAAGCAGGACTCACACACCAGCCTCATCTGTAGCTCGGAAGCATAGATGCTACTTTGTCTGCTTCTATCTCCCTCTGTGCTCTGCATACCCCACCACCCACCAGCCATTTTCTCCACTCCAGCATCCAGGCTTCTGAGGACTGCTTGGGGAGGATTTAGCTGGACAAGGTAATTAGCATCTATTAAGTGCCTGCTGTATGCCAGACACTTGCTGGGGCGGGGGATACAAAGACAGAAACAACATAGCCCCTGCCCTCAGGGAGTTCGCATTCTTTTTTGGATATAAAGATGACTATTCTTGCAGGTCCCTTCCAGCCTTCCTGGCCTTCCTTTGTTCTGAAACTCAGCATATCATAGGGGTAGAAATACAGCTTGGCAGCCACTGGATTTAAATTCTGCCTCCAGCATTTACTGCACGAATTACTGTGAGCCAATCACTTCATCTCTCTACCTCAGTTTATTCATCTGTGCAATGGGCGTAGGGCAGAACTGGTGATCTCTTTGAGTTCCTCCAAGCTCTTCAGCTAGGATCCTCTGAAGCACCAACTTCTTGTCGATCTAGACTTTCTTATTTGGTAGAAATTCATTATTCATTCCGGGCATCTAGTCCTGAGCACAGTCTGAGAACTTTTCTGCCAGTGTGCTCAGGTGGGAAAACTTTGCAAGGAGGGCTTATTTGCTAGTTTATGGAGCTTCTGTGTCTGAATGGCCCTTTTAAGCAGGAACCAGAAAAAAATCATTAAATAGACAGTGACTCTGAGCAGACTCCAAAGAACCTCCTCAGTCTCTCTCCCTGCCTCTGTTTACCAGGCTATGAGGAACAAAGACGTCATCACTCAGCTCTCCCTCTTCTTCCTCACTACATTGCCCTTTCTCCCCTCACGAGATTCCTTGATTCATGATTCTGACATAGCTTTCTTCATCTCCTTACATTCCCTCACTCCCTCTACCTTTCTCCTAGTCTATCAAGGTAACTCACGGTCTTGGATCTCATCTAAAGTCCTCTTTCGGCACTCCTGAGGTCTTGAGCACTAATTGGAAAAGATTTTGAAATGTCTGCTACTGACTCGTTATCAATTCTGGTTGACTATGTTCAGGTTGGCCTTCCCTGTTGCTTGTCAATAATTATATTCGTTTCTCATTGATTCACAGTACCATGAAAATTCTGTGTTGGATAGGACTCCAGCGGCCATCTAACATAACCCACCCCCACCCCAATCTCCCCTACAATGTACCCAAGAAATGTCGCATCCTGTCTCCACTTAAAGATCCCCAATGAATGGCAACCCATGACCTCTTAAGCCAGCCCATCCCACATCTGGATTACTCTGATTGTCAGGAAGACTCTCTTCACTTTACAACTCCATTTCACTATGGATATCTTCTCCTGTTCCTCCTAGTGCTGCTTTCTTAGGACCAAGCAGAAGAATTCTAATACCCCTTTCACCCAACAGCCCTACAAATGCTTGGGTAGAGAAAACAAATATTTAATAAAGCTTTCTAGATTTCCCCTAAGGATTGAAGTCAAGACCATTGGCCAATGAAGGAAGGAAGTGTGGCTGTGGCAGCAGGACCAGGGACTTGAGATTATTGGGAATTCCACTTTGGAGATGGAGACAGAGATGGAGTAAGCATGATTTAAATGGAGTCAAGAGAACAAGAGAGGAGCTCCGTGTAACAGGGGGCATAGTAAAGTGATTCTAGAGAGTGGGGCATTTGAGTATTGGGCAGTTCTGTCACCTGTGGGGCCACTGCCTGAACTCTAAGCATGACAGCTGCCATCTCTCTTATAAACTGGAATGGAAGAGTTGGGAGGCAGTACAGTTTGTCTGAGAGATAGGTGGTAACCAGCTTTCCAGCTGAGAGAAGAGGTATTAGACTGTAAAGTATGGTATCCCCATTTTTGTTCCCTCATTCTGAATTGGGAAGAAATTAATTTAAAAGTTTATCTTTGATTTCTAAAGTACAGTCTGTAATTTCTGTTTAAGTAGTTTGAATTTGCCAACTATTTATTATATTCAGTCAATCATAACTGGTTTGAATTTCTGTATCCTTATTTACAAATAGAGGCCATAAAAGAAAGAGTTAGTGGTTGGTTTGTGATATTAAAAAAGGAAATGGAGCAAAAAAAAGCAAAAAAAAACAAACTAGAATTGAGGTTGAAACCTTTGTCCAAAATATCTAGCTTTCTCCTTGGCTGGGGACTTAAGTGAAATAATATAGAACCATACTTATATTGATGTATTTTTGTATTAACTTTCAAAATGTAACAACAAATTACTTGAATCTAAACCATTAAATCTAGGTAGTCATGAGTGTACCTGAGCCATGAGTAAGCTGATATAAATGGAGGAAGAAAATTTGTTGAGGAAAAAAACAAGAGATCTTCCCTCAGAGGTGGGCATCAAAGATACATCCATTTCTTCCATTATTCACTTTGAAAATGATACTTTTCAAATTTTTACAACCAGTGTCTCTGATAAAGGCCACATTTCTCAAATATATAGACAACTAGGTCAAATTTATAAGAATATGAGTCATTCTCCAATTGATGAATGGTCAAAGGATATGAACAGGCAGTTTTCAGATGAAGAAATTAAAGCTATCTGTAGTCATATTCTAAATCACTATTCATTAGAGAAATACAAATCAAAATAACTTTGAGGTACCACATCACACCTATCAGATTGGCTAACATGACAAAACAGGAAAATGTTGGAGGAGATGAGGGAAAATTGGAGCATTAATGCCTTGTTGATGGAGTTGTGAACTGATCCAACCATTTTGGAGAGCAATTTGGAACTATGCCCTAAGGGCTATAAAAATTTGCACACTAGGGGCAGCTTGGTGGCATGACAAAGATGGTGGGCATGGGAAAATGGGCACCTTAGGCTCCCTTGGTGTAGCTATAAATTAGTCCAGCCATTCTTGACAGTGATTTGGCATGCTGGCCCAAAGTTACTAAACTGTGACTACATCTTCACACCATACTAGGCCTGTACCTTAAAGGGAACCAAGAAGGAGGAAAAGGGCCTGCGTGTACAAAGATACATGTAGCCCCCAAATGGAAAGTAAGGGGGGCCCCACCTTTTGGATGATGGCTAATAACATGGTAGTATATGAATACAATGGAATATTATTGCCCCATAAAAAAGGATGAAATGAAGTGTTGTAGAGAGGAAACTGGGAAGATCTCTATGAACCGATGCATATTGAAGTGAGCATAACCAGAACAATTTATATAGAAAAGACAAGATATATAGACAAGAACATTATAGAGAAAAATGACTTTGGGAGACTTAAGAACTCTGGTCATTGCAACAGAACTCCTGAGTCCAGAGGACTAAAGACCACTAGTTTCACCCATGTCACTGTAGAGAGGTGATGCATACAAAATGCAGGAGAAAATCAGTTTTGGACTTGGGCAAAGAGGGAATTTGTTTTGTTGGACTGCATGTATTTATAATGAGGGTTTGTTTCCTTGTTTGTAGTTAAGTTGGAGGGGAGGACTATGGGGGGTGAGATAATAGATGGTTGAATAAATAAAGAAACAAATAAATGCATGTTTATGAATTGTACTTGACACCCTGAGAATTCCTTAATCACCTTTCCTTCTAAGAGGGGAACCAGCCTTCTCTTTTATGTTGTACTTTTCATTGGTCGCCATTCCCTGGCTACTCTTTTTCTAAGAGTTGTGAAGTCACTAAATCTAAGACTTTTCTAGTTTTCCAACCACAAGTATCTTTCCAACCACTTTCCTGGTCTGATCCTGTTTGCTTATGTGTCGAATGAGGGAGGCAGAGTAAGACTCACCTTCCAAGGCTTTCTTCTGCCCTCTATGACCTAAGTTTCATGAATGCCTTTTATCTTTATATCACTATAATTTCCAAATATGCCTCCTATCCCCTCCCCCAAAAAGCTTTCCATTTTAACAAAGAAAGTTTGAATGGGAAGAAAATGAATGAATGAATGGATGAGACAAAAGGTATTAATTAATCAGTTACTGTGTGCCCAAGACTGGGCTAAGTGTTGGAGTCACATACCCAGAAAGTGAGACACCCCTTGCTTCCAAACGTTTTTCACTCTAGTTATGGGAGACACAGAAAAGAAAGTTCAGCGAGGGGGCAGATGGAAAGGCCTGTGAGTCCTAAGTTTTCCACAGAGAGGCAAAAAGGCAAGGCTTGGGGGTCTGGAGTCTTCATTACTAAGTTAGATGGCAGCTCTGGGGGACCATAGGGCATACATGCAAGGTAGATGAAAACTTAGGCAGCACTCATCATAGGAATGAATAATGTGGGTGACTGCTATCTCATCTGAGGTTCTAGGCAAGGGAGATAAAGGGGGAAGGCAAGAGGACAGGGTCCCTCCCATGCTATTGGGTCTTCCTGCTGCCAAGCAATCTCTAATGGGCACTGAGACAGCCACGGACTGGGGGTAGTGCCAAGGAGGCAAAGGGGATAGCAAAGCAAATCCAGTGAGTTTTTTTTTAATCACAGATATTTGTTTGATATAAAATTTTTCCCCAGTTGACAATATCTCTTCTTATCCAAGTGGCCTTGATATTATTCATGCAAAAGCTTTATATTGTGCTGTTGGTGAAACTCTCTCTAACAATATAGACACCGCTATTTAAGTGTCTTCAAATTGCCCAGAGCACTGAGGTGCAGTGACTGACCCATGGTCCCATTCCCAGCAGGTGTCAGGAGGGGGACTCAAGCCCTTGTCTTCCGAAGGCCAGGGCCAGCTTTCCTTCCACTCTACCACCTGGACTCCCAAAGCTATCATCGAAAGGTCTGTTTTATCCTCTTGGATCGCTTCTGCCTTGCGCTGTTAGGAATCCTCCCATTCACAGAGTGACTCCTTCCCTGCTCCTGATTCTTTTCATCAGGTGACTTTTTTATACTCTGGCTGTAAATCAACCCAAACTCATGGTGATCCATTGTCTGAGTGATGGTAACAACAGCAGCCACCACGTATGTGACACTTTAAGCCTGGCAAAGAGCTTTCTGGATGCTAATTCATGCAATTCTCACAATAGCCCCGTGAAATCTGTTTTATTATTAGCCTATTTTGCACATGAAGAAGGTGAGCTGGAGCCCTGCCCGCAGATACCCAGTCAATGTGTCTGTGATAATGTTGGTCTGAGGTGGGATTCTGATTCAATTTAGGTCTTTCAGACTCCAAGCCCAGTGCTCTAACCACTGTACCACCTAAGTCATCTAATCTATCAGAGGCTAAGCTGCTTTCCACTATTCCCAATAGATCTCATCAAATCCTCCCTTAAGTAATTTACTTTCTTGGACATTTCAAATGCTCAGTTGGATTGTTTTTGTTTCTTACGTAGCCTGTCCCACTGATGTAATGTTCGGCTTTTTAACACATACCAAATTGTTTCCGTGTTTACTGCTTCATAATATAGTTTGACATCTGGAAGAGCTATTACCCTTTCATTTCTGCATATGTTCATCAGCTCGATTCTGTTCAATTTAATTCAATTAAACAAACATTTCTTTAGTCCCAACTATGAGACAGGCATTGTGCTAAGTACCAAGGATAGAAATTTAAAAAAAAAATCATTGGCCTAAAATGGCTTAGAATAGAAAACAACACTGTCTATAGACAATTAAATATGCAATATAGAGAAAAGCATTTCAGGGGATGGGGGAAGGGGGAAAGAAGACCCAAGTGGTTGGGGGATTGGGAAGGGCTCGTTTTAGAAAGGACAGCTGAGCTGAGCTTAGACGTTAAGGAGTCGTTGAGGAGAGGGAGGAGGGAATGTTCTCCTGGCATAAGGGACAGCCAAGACAAAGGCACAAGACCAGGGCTCAAATGTCATAGATGGGGCACAGCTGAAAAGCCAGGTGGGCAGGACCAAAGAGGGCATGACAGATAGCAATGGTGATAAAGGCTGGAGGCTGACTGGGAAGGGTGCTTAAGGTCAAAGAGAAGGGGAATTATTTTATCCTAGAGACAAGAGGGCCACATGACAGCTCCTGAGCAAGGGAGTGAAATGGCCAGGCCTGTGCTATAGAATCATCAGTGTGGAAGCTGTACGGACAGGGGAGTGATGGAGGAAGAGAGATCAAGTCCAGGCTAAAGGTAGTGAGGGCCTGAGCCAGGAGGGCTGGTGTTAGAGAGGAGGGGGGAGAAGTCAGAATGTCATCAGAGCAGACTCTATAAAATTTAACAAGAGATTGATGTGAGAAGTGTGGGAGATAAAAGATATGAAGATGGTTCCAAAGATGCAAACCTGGGGGGACTAGAAGGAGGGGGGGTACTCACAAGAGAAATAAAGAAGAAGGGATGGTTGGGAGAAAATGTAACACTGTTGGATGTATGTTGTGATCATGGGTTGCTTTGAACAAATTGTGTCATTATCTTCTCTAGTATATTTTTTTCTTACATTTTTTTTTTTACATAGAGACTTTGTACCATAGGTAAATAAAATAGTGGGGATTAGAGAAGGAGGGGGCCTGGAGGATGCACTTCAGGAGAGGATAGACCCCTGCAGATTTGCAACACACTAACCCATCAGCATCTAGAGGAGGAGCCCACATAGTTTGCAAAGCCTGAGGGCTTACATTTTCGACTTTTAAAGTATTGTGATTAGAATGGCACCAATCCTGAATGTTAATATGTGTAGCATTATCATTTTTATTGTATTGGAACTGCCTAACCATGAGCAATGAATTGGTCTCAATGTATCATTGTGGATTTTGCTTCTGTAATAAATACTGTATTTATATTGTATTTATGTACCATGAGTATCTCAGTAAATTGATTTTGAATTTTTTTTTACTTATTTTGAGTGGTATTCCACTTTCTGTCATTTTCTCCAGTTTTTTTTTCAATTGATACACAGAAGCATTGGTCATTTTGTGAAATTACCTTGCTTTCTTAATTCATTATTTTATTGAATTTTTAATTTCATAATTTATTTACTGATGCTGTGGGATTTTCTAAGTGAACCATCATGTTGGTGGCAAATAGGAATAATTTTATCTCTGTTTTCTGTGTTTATGTTTTTAATTTTTTTCTCATCACCAGAATTTCCTGTCAAATTACAATGGTGAGAGCATTCTTGTCTTAACCCTGTATTACCTAGTAATGCTTCTCATGTTTCTTCCTTATATTGTGAGCTTTTGGATTATTTTTAGATCTATAATTTTTAATCCCCTGGAGAGAAAATGGCTTTTAATGCCAAATACATATAAAAGCATTAGAGGAAGGCATCCCAGATACTGTGGGAGCAGAAAGTACCTAGAACCCATGGTCTTTTCTGTTTATCTTACCCATAGAATCACTTAGGATTCCTCATTCGCAGCAATTTATCTCTGTGAGCTTTCAAAAATTAGCTCATCAAATCACTGGCATCAGAGTAGTCCCTGATGGAGTAATAAAAAAAAAATTATTAAGGATTTAACTGTGTTAGTTGAACCTGCATTCAGACACTTAGTAGCATGACCCCGGGCAAGTCACTTAACTTCTGACTGCCTCAGTTTCCTCATCTATAAAATGGAGACCATAGTAGCACCTATCTCCAATGTTGTTGTGAGTATAAAAAGAGATAATATTTGCAATAGGTGGTTTTATTATTGCCAACTATTATTCTATGTTCCAGGATAAAAATAGAAAAGGGAGATGGTCCCTGCTCTCAAGGAAAGGAACTCCCACTCTAACTAGAGAAGACAACATACACTGGAGTGTGCACTTGTTGTATCATTGGAAATTCTAAGGGTGCACCAGATGTCCAAACGGCAAAGGCCAAGTGTCCTTAGGGTTCATTAGCACATCATTGTAAGTAGCTATAGAACAGATCATGAGGCCTAGCAGACCTTAGGATACAATATCAGGGCAAGTCATAGGCTTAAGTGTCCTCTATCTTCCTTTTTTTTTTTTGATTTATTTTTTACTTTTCCTCAATTATATGTAAACAAAAAGTTTGACATTTGGTTTTTTTTAAAGTTTATTCCAAATTATCTCCCTCCCTCTTCCCTTTCCTTGAGAAAGCAAGCAATTTGATATCGATTTTACATGTACAGTTACGCAAAATATTTCTTCATTAGCCATGTTGCAAAAGAAAACATAGTCCAAAAAAAAAAAAAACAACCCAAGAATAATAAAATTTAAAAAATGCTTCAATCTGCATTGAAACTCTATGAGTTCTTTCTTTGGAGGTAGATAGCATATTTATCCTTTGGAATTATCTTGGATCATTGTATTGCTGAAAATAGCTAAGTCATCCACTTTTGATCATCATGTAATACTGCTGTTACTATGTACAACGTTCTCCTGGTTCTGCTCACTTCACTTTGCATCAGTTCATATAAGTCTTCTTAGGTTTTTTTTCCTGAAATCATCCCACTTATCAATTTCTTATGGCATAATAGTATTTTACCATCATCATATACTCCAACTTGTTCAGCCATTCCCCAATTGATGGATATTCCCCTCAGTTTCTAATTCTTTGCCACCCCAAAAAGAGCTGCTTTAATATTTTTGTGCATGTAGGTCCTTTTCCTTTTTCTTTGATCTCTTTGGGATACAGATCTAGTAATGGTGATGCTGGGCTAAAGGGTAAGTATAGCTTAATAGCCCTTTGTGCATAGTTCCAAATTGTTCTCCAGAGTTGCTGAATCAGGTCCTAACTCCACCAGCAATGTATCGGTGTCCCTATTTTTCACATTCCCACCAATATTTCTCATTTTCCTTTTCTGTCATATTAGCTGACCTGATAGGTGTGGAGTGGGACCTCAGAGTTGTTTTAATTTGCATTTCTCAAATCAGTAGTAATTTACAGCATTTTTTTTTCATATGACTATAGATAGCTTTTATTTCTTCTTCTGAAACTTACCTGTTCATATCCTTTGACCATTTATCAATTGGGGAATGACTTGGAGTATAGTAAATGTTACTCAGTTTTCTACATATTTGAGAAATGAAGCCTTTATCAGAGAAACTTGCAAAAAATTCCCAGTTTCTTGCTTTCCTTCTAAATCTTGGCTGCATTGGTTTTGTTTGTACAAAAACTTTGGTCCTCTATCTTCTAAGAAAAATAATTTGTAATGAGTGACTGCTCTTCCAAGCAGTGTGAGTAGTCGGGTTCTTCCTTCAAGGTGGGGCTTAAAGGCGCCCAGCCTACCACCACTGGGAAAGGGGAAGAAGACAGAAGATCACATTGAAAATTATGATTCTCTTTTCCTTCCCATGGGGTGGTATATGAAGTGATTAGTTTCCATCCAGGCAGCAGGAAGGAGGGGAGTGGCAAGAAGGTTATGGGATGAAATATGGATGGCTTTGGATGGGAGAAGAGATAAGAATCTCTCTCTACACTGGTAATTTCCTCCCAACATCACCTGGAGATCTCCAGGCCACAGATTTTAGAGGGAAGTTATAGAAAGCTTTCACACTTTAAGGAAGAACAGACCATAAGACCATAAAAGCCCCTTTCAACTCTGTGACTGGAGGATTTTCTAAAATATAAAAGTCTCTGATGGGGATTGATTTCATCTTCTAGGAGGCTTGATTGGAACAACACTAGCTGTGAAGCCAGAAGGCCTGGCTTCTTGCCCTGCCTCTGATTCTCCCTATCTGTGTGATGACCTCCCCAGACTTCCTCTCTATCAAAAGAGGGGGATAGAATAGAAGTCTTCTGAGCTTTCTTTACACTCTCAGTCTGAGACCAAAGAGAAGTCACATGAATCATTTAAGGGCTCCTAAATTCTACAAGTCATTATGCTAAAAAGAAAACTGAGTATGGTCATCTTCAGCTTCAGCCCAGTGCAAACAAAGCATTATTCTTCTGGCATGGAAAGAAAGCCAATGGATAGTGTTAGTCCTGAAACAAATCGCTCACAAGTGGAGGAAAAGGCATCTTTAATCAAGATAAGAAGGGCCGCCAGCCTGCAACCCTGAGTCACCCATATCTGAGTACATGGATGTGGAACAAGAAAACTCACAGAAAAGGTTTTTATGCTTTCAGGAGGAAATAAAAGGGAGGGGGCAGGCGTTGACATATGGAGTGAAGCCTGGTCATGAGGCACCAGCCACCCTAGGCAATCTGAGCAAGAAAAACCATTTCATTCTGGTTGTTTTACTTTTCATGAGAGAGGCAAGGACTTTCCACAGCTGTAATGTAGCCAGAGCTAGATTTGTTTACAAGGTAAGATCTCAGGGTGGGGCTCAGTTCCACGAAGTTGAGAGTCAGTGCCTCATAAGTAGGAATTGAAGGACATTGCTTCAATTCTGACATCACTAGGATTCTTCAGAGGGAGGGACTTTCCTCCCATCAGTCTGGCCTTCTGACAGGGAAGGGAATATTACATTGAATATTAACAATATTCCTGTCAATATAAACCAGTCATTCATCAAGAATTTATTAAGCATTTACTGTGTCCCAAGCACTTTTCCAAGGGGGCATCCTCTATTTGCAATTGGTTGATTGCAGGTTATCCTTGGAGATTTCTGGGAAGGGCTTAATGACTGCTCACATTTATATAGCTTTGGTTTATAGGCTTGTAAACTGCTTTACATTCCTTATCTCATTTGCATCTCACGGAAGCCCTTGGAGGGCTGCTGAATACACATTGTTTTCCCCAATTTCCTGGTGAAAAATTCATTTCAGAAAGGTCAAATGATTTACTTACTAATGGTCACACAGCAACTCAGTGTCAAGGGCAGATTTTGAACACAGGTCTTCCTGACTCCAAGACCAGAACTCTATCTGAGATGTCACACTGATTTGTCTTTGACTGCTTGGATCAGAAAGAATTGGTTTATTGGTTATTCTATTAAAATATAAGTTTTTTGAGGGCAGGAAATAATTTGCTTTTTTCCCCTTTTGTGTCTAACACAACATCTACCACACAGTAGGCACGTTATATATACTTGTCGTTTTATTTAACATAGGAATGCTACCTTCTATAATAACCCTTTCCTAATTAGAAAAGTTAGGTATGATAGATCTCTGGAAAAAACTGAATGGGGATAGAAAGTAACATACTTTTTTCTCGGCAGTTCATGACACATACACAAAAATTGACCATGTACTAGGGAATAAAAACCTCACAATCCAATGCAGGAAGGCAGTAATATTAAATGCATCCTTTTTAGATCACAATGCAATAAAAATAGTATGTTATAAAGGGTCACGGAAAGATAGACTAAAAAATAATTGGAAATTAAATAATCTAATCCTAAAAAATGATTGAGTCAAACAATAAATCATAGAAGCAATCAATAATTTCATTCAAGAGAATGACAATAATGAGACAACATACCAAAACTTATGGGATGCAGCAAAAGCAGTTCTTAGGGGAAGTTTTGTACCCTCTAAATGCTTACATAAATAAAATAGAAAAAGAGGAGATCAATGAATTGGGCATACAACTAAAAAACTAGAAAAAGAACAAATTAAAAATCCTCAGTTAAACACCAAATTAAAAATATTGAAAACCAAAAGAAAAATTAAGAAAATTGAAATTAAGAAAACTATTAAACCAATAAATAAAACTAAGAGCTGGTTCTATGAGAAAAAACAATAAAATAGATAAAACTTTGGTTAATTTAATTAAAAAAAAGAAAGAAGAAAACCAAATTACTAGTATCAAGAATGAAAAGGGTGAAGCTACCACCAAGGAAGAAGAAATTAAAACAATAATTAGGAATTATTTTGCCCAACTATATGCCAACAAATTTGACAATCTTAATGAAATGGATACACATTTACAAAAATATAAATTGCCCAGATTAACAGAAAAGGAAGTAAAATACTTAAATAACCCCATCTCAGAAAAAGAAATTGAACAAGCCATTGATGAACTTCCTAGAAAAAAAATCTCCAGGGCCAGATGGATTTACATGTGAATTCTATCAAACATTCAAAGAACAATTAACTCCAATACTATATAGACTATTTTGGAAAATAAGTGAAGAAGGAGTCTTACCAAATTCTTTTTATGATGCAAATATGGTGCTGATACCTAAACCAGGAAGAGTTAAAGCAGAGAAAGAAAATTATAGAACAATTTCTCTAATGAATATAAAATGCAAAAATTTTAAACAAAATATTAGCAAACAGATTACAGCAACTTATCACAAGAATAATACACTATGACGATGTAAGATTTATACCAGGAGTCTACCTCCCAAAACAAACCCAGGAACTCTATGAAGACAATTACAAAACACTTTTCACACAAATAAAATCAGATCTAAATAATTGGAAAAACATCAGTTGCTCATAGGTAGGCCAAGCTAATATGATAAAAATGACAATTCTACCTAAGCTAATTTACTTATTCAGTGTGATACCAATCAAACTACCAAAAGTTATTTTATAGAGTTAGAAAAAATAATAAGAAGATTCATTTGGAACAACAAAACGTCTAGAATATCAAGGGAACTAATGAAAAGAAATGCAGGGGAAGGTGATGTAGCAATTCCAGATCTTAAATTGTATTAATAAAGCAGCAATCATCAAAACTGCTTCATACTGGTTAAGAAATACAATAGTGGATGAGTGGAATAGGTTAAATATGCAAGACACAGTAGTCAATGACTATAGTAATCTATTATTTGATAAACCCAAAGACCCCGGCTTCTGGGATAAGAACCCACTCTTTGAAAAAAAAAACTGCTGGGAAAACTGGAAAAGAGTATGGTAGAAACTAGGCATAGACCAAAATCTCATACCACATACCAAAATGAAGTCAAAATGGGTTCATGATTTAGATATAAAGGCTGCCAGTATAAGCAAACTGGGAGAGCAAGGGATAAAAGTTTACCTATCAGATCTATGGAGAACAGAAGAATTCATGACCAAACAGGAGATAGAGAACATTACAAAAAGCAAAAACTTTTCAATTTAATGTAATCAAAATTATCCTATTAAACATATTTTCACATTAGTGATGTTGTAAGTAAAAATTAAAACCAAATGGAGGAACTATGAGAAAGAGGAAATAAAACTGAGCAGAAGAGAAAAAAAAAGATAGCAATTCAACTTCCACAGTAGTCAATGACTATAGTAACATCACTAATGTGAAAATATGTTTAATAGGAATGTAAATGTATAGCCTATATCAGACTGTGAGCCATCTTGGGAAGGGAGTGGGAGAAAGAAGAGGGAGAAAATTTTTAAACTCAAAAGTATGTGGAAGTTATTGTTGATTAATCAAAATAAATTAATAAAATACAAATTTTAAAAAATAACCCTTTCCTGGTCCACTTGGTTGCCAGTGCCTTGTCCTCCTCAAAAACCTCTTTGTATTTACTTTGGAAACCTTTTGCCTATACTTATGCATGTGTATATCCTCTCCCCCAATAGCATATAAGCTCCTTAAGGGCAGACACTGTTTCGTTTAGGTCACTGTTTCCCAGCACCTATCATAGCTCCTGATTGACACCTAATAGGTGCATAATAAATGCTGGTTGATTGACTGATTTTTGGTCGTTCTCCCCAGGCTAGCCCACTGTGGTACTAAGAATGACTTTTCATATTTTCTCTTGATCTTACACACACCATGGAATCAGAGCACCCATTCCTCTTCTGCTCTCTCACTATTGGCCTTATTGTTGTTCCTTAATAATGTTTATGAAATGAGGGCATGAATGTATTAATTAACGGAGAGGGAAAGAATACACATTTATGTAGCACCCATTTTGTGCCAGGCATTGGGCTAAGTGAGCCCTTTACAAAGATTAGCTCATTTTATACTCACTATCACCTTGGGAAATAGGTGTTATCATTTTCCCTTCTTTACAGATGAAAGAACTGAGGCAAACAGAGGTTAAGTGGCTTTCCCAGGATCACACAGCTAGTAAGTGTCTGCAGAGGCTGAGTTTGAGCACTCCATCCCTACTGCTCTATCCATGGTATCACCCAGCTGCCTCCTTTAAGTTACTATCAAGCTAATGATACTAACAGTTACTCCCAGAATCTCAAGGTTGGAAGTGATTCCCCAGTCCAGTAAGTCCATTCCATACTTATGCAAGAATGCTCTCTACTATATAACCAATAAAGATTCATCCAGTCTCTTTCTGAAGACCTTTGAAGTGGAGGAATACACTTTTCCTGGTGGCAGCCCATTCCACTTTGAGATAACTATTAGGAAGAGTTTTTCATTTGCTGACATCAGGTCACAGTTCCTCTTTGTCACTTCCACCCATCACTGCTGTTTGGTCTTCAGAACAGAGCCAAACCAACAATCGTGGCCGGCTGCATATAGGACTTGAAGGTTTATAACATGCTTTCCTCACGATAACCCAATGGGGGCAAGTACAAGAAAAAATGACTTGATTAAAAGGCTGTCCTTTCTTCCAGCCACAACATTCTCCTCTATGAAGATGGCCATGCTGTCGTGGCAGACTTTGGAGGTAAGACTTTCCTACCCAGCCCCCCAAACATCAGGCTGCTTCTGGCTTCCTCCTTACTTTCTGATGCCATTTGACAAACGGAAAAGTAGCTGTCTCTGTGACAGCTGTCTTTGTCTCAAGTCACACAAATTATACAGAAACTGGATTTTGATCCTATAGCTTTTTCTGCTTTGATATTATTAGTCAGAGGGGAGGGAGGAGTGGAAATGTAAATGTGACTGCCAGCTCCCTGTGGTTTGGGATTGTTAAAAACAATCCCTGGTGTGGGTGGTGAGGTATTGCTTTGACATGAATTTGCTTCCTTTCCCCCCCACTCAGAATCAAGATTCCTGCAGTCTCTGGATGAGGACAACATGACAAAACAACCTGGGGTTTGTAGTCTGCTGCTGTGTCTAGTCCCTGTAATTAGTACCCAATTAAAATGTGTAAACCCAGCCTAGAAGGAAGAGATGAGATGAGATCAGAGTGCCATTTTTTTTAAAGATGTCATTTTCTCAGGAGCAATAGAATGTTCTGTGTTTTGTTTTAGCTTCCAGCAATCTATTGGAATGGGGTGGGGTGGAAGTGGAAGGAGCTCAGTACATGGGAACGGTGCTGGATTGGAGTAGAGGGAGATGGGTCAAATCTGAAACTCCCTACCTACTTATGAGACTTTGAAGTCCCTTGACCTCTCAGTATTCTCATCTGCAAAACAGAGGCTGAGCTAGATGTCATTTCAGGGTCAGTGGAGAGCTTAATTCATGATCTTAGCATTTAAAGATTTCAAGGTTTCCTTTTGTAATTACATAGCTCACAATGACCAAGCATTTTAAGTACATTATCTCATTTAAGCCTGACAATATCCCTGAAGGCAAATACTCTTATTAGTGTCATCTTACAGATGAGTAAACAGGCTTGGAAAGGTTATGTGCCTTGACTGTGATCATATCTGGTTAGCATATGAAATTGTGTTTCTGATCCATCCCACAATCATCAAGTATTTATTAAGTGCCTACTGTGTGCCAGGCACTGTACTCCCTATGGCTATACACCCAAATGTGAAATCATCCCTAGCCCCAACGAGTTTACATTCCAATGGATTCTTCTTGAATCAGAGCTCAGCTCTCTGTCCACTTTTCCACTCTGACTTTTGCTTGGAAAAACTTTTAAAAATATAATTCAAGTGATATTGGGCATGAGATATAGATGGATTTGTTCCTGGGACCCTTGAAGGAATGTAGACACCATGAATAGACAATCTAGTTTCTTTGTTAGTTCTATCAATTTTTAATAGTTCATTAAAATCTCAATTTTCAATGTGTCAACATTTCTACACTGTTCAGAATCTACTATCCATTAAAGCATCATTCATTCATTGAAAAACCATTCATTGTTTAGCACAAGGATGCCCAGAGCTATGTGCCAGGAGGCAGAAGGTAATGATGGCATCAATAAGACAGGACCACTGTCTTCAGGGAGCTTACAGTCTAGGAAGGGTGATACAACAACCTTTAATGAGATGGATGCTATGATAAATCACCAGTAGAAAGTAAGCTCCTGGTGGGACAGCTTCCTTTTCCTCCATCTCCTCCTGATCAGAACAGTGTCTGCTTCTTGATATGGGCTTTAGGAAGGTCCAGCCTGAGTGTCTTTGCACTGGCTGACCCGGACACCTGGAGCACTCTCCCTCCTCACTGCCACCCCTCAGAAGCCCTGGCTTCTTTCAAGACTCAGCTGAAATGCCAGCTTCTGGAGGACTTTCAGTCCTCTCATCTCACTCCACACCAGCTGCTGATGCCTTCCCTCTCTTTCTCCCTTCCATCTACTCTGAGTGTATCTAGCTTCCATGCACCTATTTACATACCAGTTGTCTCCCCATCAGATTGGGCAGGGACCAGGTTTTGGCCTTTTTGGCTCCCCATAAGGTGCAGACATGGTGGGTACTTAGTAAATGTGTGCTGATGTAGTAGAAAGGGATAATCTATCAGTCAGTCAATGAACAAGCCTAACTTCACAGATCTAGAGCCAGAAGGAAACTGGAGGTTACTAAATCCAACCTCACCCTCTTACAGATGAGGAAACTGAAATCCAGACAGGCTGACTTGCCTGGATGGAGTCACAGAGCTAGCATGTGTCTGAGTCAAGATTTGAACCCAATTCTTTCTTCTTCACCCAATCCTCATGTACCATGGACAGAGGCTCTTTGCCAGGCTGCTTGTCCTCTGGGTCATCTCCAGTTTGCCAAGGCTCTTCCAGAACCATGACATCCCACAGGAAGAAATATAGAGGATGTCTCGCTTTCTTATTCCTGGAAACCTGGCTCCCTTGAGGCAGCCCATCTGCAGTGGCTTCCGGGGCCACCATATCAAACTCCTTGCTCATGCTGAGCTTGCAATATACTTAAGCCCGGCACCTTTTCTCAAACTACCAGCCTCCTAACCAGCCTGTGCTGCTGAAGCTAATATTTGAAACCCAGGTCCCCATTAAATTCTATCCAATAAGGCTCATCTCTTGCTCTAGCTCATCGTCCTGTGCATTAGCTGGGAGGCCTCTGCAGATTTGATGAGGAAGCTGTCCCCACCTTCATTCCAGCCTGCCTGGGATAAAGATGTAAGCCAGCACAGCACCAGGCACAGATAGATCCCTGGGGCATGCCATTAGAGACCTCTTCCCAAATGCACATAATTGGGATTATAATACCAAATATCACAATAACATAATTAGAATACCAAAGGAAGGCTCCAATATTATTATACCAGTGAGAAAATAATCCTGTCATAGCTTAGCAGTTTAGCCTCTTAGCATGCATACTACTCTGAAGACATAGTTTAAATAGTGTTCTGCCTTGTGCAAGTTGGTTCACCACTCCGTTGTCTCCTCAGTAAAATAACAATAAGACGTGTCTGTGACTACCTCTGACATATGGTGTATCGATGCACAATCTGTCAGTGCAGTCTCTCTTTCTCTCTCCCTCTCTCTTTACTAAGAACTCACATTTTATAGCACTTAAGAGGCAGCTTTGCACAATGGCTAGAGAGCCCACACTGAAGTCAGGAAGAGCTAGATTCAGATCCTATCTCTGACAAGTCAAGTCAGCAATCATTTATTAAGCACCTGCTATGTGCAGGGCACTGAGCTAAGTGCTGAAGATACAAAGAAAGATAGAGAAGAAAAATCCATCCACGCATCCATGCTCTCAAATTGCTCCTAGTCCAGTGGAGGAGACAATGTACAAACCGCTATGTACAAATGAGACCTGGACAGAATAAACTGGAGGTGATCTCAGAGAGAAGACTCTATAATTAAGGGGAAGTGGCAAAGGCTTCTGGCAGAAGCTTGGATTAAGCTGGGGAAGCTAAGGCAGGAGATGAAAAGGGAGAAAATCCAGCCAATGAGAGAGGATTGAAAAAGGCAGCAAAAGCACCATCAGGAGTGGGGACCACATACAGAGTTTGGGGAAGAGGAAGGGAGACATTGAACAACTGAAATGAACAGCAAACTCTAACCCTCCATGCAAGGCACCCTGCCAGAGGCTGGAGAGAGAAAGCAGAGGCCCATAAGGAGTTTAGACATAGCTCCATACGTACACATCCCACACTTACAGGTGTATGGTGTCCGTGTATATATAGTGCATGTATGTAGAGTGTATGTATGTATAGAACACCTAAATACATGTGCATGTGGTGAGGAGAGGAGAGACAGAGAGACAGAGAAAGGACAGAGAGATAGAGAGAAAGAGATGAGACAAAGAGGTGGAGAAACAGATAAAAGAAAAAACTGAGAAGAGACAGAGAGATAGAGATAGCTGAGACAAAGACCGAGAGGACAGAGACAGATGAGAAAGAGAGATAAAGAGATGAGGTACAGATAGAGATGAAAGAGAGACAGAGGACAGAGAGATTAGAGAGAGGGAAAGAGAGAAACAGAGAGAGAGAGAGAGAGAGAGAGAGAGAGAGAGAGAGAGAGAGAGAGAGAGAGAGATGAGGCAGAGAGAGATATGAAAGAGAGACAGAGAGGACAGAGAGTTGAGAAACAGACAGGTGAAAGAGAGGGGGGGGAATGAGACAGAGAGACAGATGTGAAAGAGAAATAGAGAGATAAGAGAGAAACAGAGATGGAAGAGAGACAGAAACAGATGAAACAGAGAGATGAGAGAGAGATGAGAGAGGCAAGAGACAGAGATGTGACAGAGTCATAGAGATAGAGACAAAGATAGATGAGACAGAAAGGTAATGAGACAGGGATGAGACAGAGTTCAGAAAGAGAGGGGAATGAGAAGGGGGATGGATTCTAAGAGGAAGGTGGACATGAGGAGGAAAAGTATTCTAGGTTTGAGGGACTTTCTTGTGTGACTGCACCAGATGAAGGAAATAGTCAATGTGCATTTATTAAGCTTTTACTATAGAGAGTGCCAAGTTCTTGGACAAATTCTACAGTTCTAGAACTATTCTCTCTCAAGGAAATAGAAAGAAAATGGGATTCCATAAAACTTAAGGACTTTGGGGAGAATTACAGAAAGGACTTGAGTTCACCCCCTTCATTTAACACATGGAGACCGCTGGGAGGTGCCACAGTGCACAGAGCTCTGGTCCTGGAGTCACAAAGACCTGAGTTCTAATCCAGCTTCAGAGGCTCCCTAGCTGTGTGATTTGGTATACGTCCTTTAACCTCTGTCTGCCTCATTTTCCTCAACTTCAAAATGGGAATCATATCAGCACCTAATTCCCCCAGTTATTTGGTAGATAAAATGAGATACTGTTTATAAGAGCACTTAGCACAGTGCCTGCACACAGCAGATGCTACATAAATGCTTATTTCCTTCTCCCTTCCATTTATAAGGAAGCCTAAGCCCTGAGAGTTTGAACGGGGATTGGCAGGTTTTTAATGCATTTTGAGATCCACCTAAGACTACTGGTTCACCCAAACATTTCTTCTGCTACTGTACCACAGGATTATTACTAAGGTCATTTTTTATTCTGCCACAAGTTTGAAAGTTTTTAAATGCAGGTTTACAGTAGGATCAAGGAAAGTTTTTGTTCAAGTTTATTCAATATCCAACTTTAGACATGCCCACAGCTAAGGTTAGAATCCTACGTATCATGTATTTTCAGAAGTTTCCTCAGATTTTTTAGGACATTGTTACTCTAGAAAAAGTGTGAAAATATGACCTGATGGAAAGGATGAGCTGAACTTGATGCGACAAGGCTTGGCTTCAAATCCCACCCCTGCACTTCCTATCTATCCTTCCTAGTCCTCAGTGTTCTTCCCTGTAAAACGAAGGGGTTGGGCTAGATTATCCTGAAATTCCTTCTAGCTGTAGACCTATGACTGTGCAGACAAGGTTAAATTTTAGCTACCTCTGTGACCTGGAGTAAAGCACGTCATTACTCTGTGACTCAGTTTCCTCTTTCATAAAAGAAAGGGTTGCATGGTCCCAAGGTCTAGCTGTAAACCTGTACTCCTCCGTAGCTAAAGTTAGGCGCGACCCTCCAGGGTTCCCTCGCTCTTCTCAAGACACTGAAGACCCCGTTTTCTTTTTTTAATTTAGACTTCCGAACCCAGAAAAGTTAGATTAACCCCCACAGGGCGCAATGTCTCTGCCAGGAAGTCATGCAGGTCTCCGGATAAGTCACTGATTTTGCTGCTAGGGAGCTCTAAGGCTCCACTGGGGGAAAGAGGGAGCAGGCAGAGAGGCCAACCGGCAAACCCACCCTGCCACCCCCAACGGCAAACTGGAGCTTATTATCCCTGCCATTCCATACCTGGCCGGATGTAATGAACGATGTCATGAGGCTTAGAGCAGGCGGGGTGGGGCGGGGTTTCATGTGCCCGGGAGACATGTGTCTCTTGGAGAAACAGCCAGAACAGCTAACACGGTCCAGCCTCATTATTTCAAGCAGTCAGGTTACCTGAGGTTAAAACTACTGGCAAACAGCGGAGGTCTAAGGGCTTCTCATGCTCGTCTTTGCTCTGCAGAATCTCCGTTGGATGGCCCCCGAAGTCTTCACTCAGTGCACGCGGTACACCATCAAAGCAGACGTGTTCAGCTACGCCCTGTGTCTGTGGGAGCTGCTCACTGGCGAAATTCCGTTTGCTCATCTCAAGCCAGGTAAGGCGGCTGCGGCCAAAGGCTCCTATCTGCCCTCAAGCTCACTGTATTCCAAGATATTGAGAAGCAGCCCCCGGTCCCCTGCACTCCCCCCCCGCCCAAAGTTTAGTGTCGGGGACTGGTCGATGCTTGGATTCTCCCTAGGACGCTGAAGAAAGTCTCTAGGTGAGCCTTCAGCACGAGGCTTCACGGGCTGCTGCAGTGGAAGGAGCCCTGGGCTTGGGGTCTCAGGGTGTGGGTTCAGATCTCAGCTCGGTCACTGACTAGATGTGTGACCACGGTGGTGTCCTTTGCCTCAAATGAGAAAACGAAGCTGGTTACCGCCTCCAGCTCTGTCTATGACTCCATGGTCTTATCATCTCTTCACTGGGCTTTATTTTGGTGTGTCATAACAGACTCCCTTTCCATCCCCCAGGCCCATGTTTGCAGTCAATCCAGGTAACTCCACCTAGTGAGCGTGTTGTGAGAGTGAGGATTTGTCACATACATCATTTGTAGCAAGACTTGTGATGTGTGTGGCTGCCAGTGGTTTGTACTGGACTGGTGTCCAGGAAGCATCACATGTAAATATGATTTTCAAGGCCTCTTGGAATAACATAGCTGCTTCTGACTGCTCCGAGGACTGTCCTGGGAAACAGAGAGTGGAGCTGTTCTGATTAACCTCGAAGCAGAGCATTGGGTCAGAGAAAGAGCTGACGGAAGCCTCAGAGACGTCTATACCAACCTCCTTCATCGGAATTTGTCTGACAAAGCCAGCGTTTGAACCCAGGTCTTCTGACTCCAATACCCTTTGTGCAAGAGGCAGTTAGGCTGTAGAGTGGATAGAGCACCAAGCTTGGGGTTGGGAAGTCCTGAATTCAAATGCTGCCAAAGCCAGTTCTTAGCTATGTACCTCTGAGTAAATCATTAAAATTTCTGGGCCTCAGTTTCCCCATCAGTACCTTAAGAGTTCCTGTCTCATTCACAGGATTGCTGTGGGAATTAAAGGAGATTCCATGCTGAAAGCCATTAGCCAATTCTAGAGTTCTATGTGAATACCATCTATCAGTACTGCTGCTGCAGTGTGCACCATCTTAGCCCCTATGTGGGACCCAGTCCTGGGTCTCTGTCCGAACCTTGGCAATGAATTCCTTTCTTTTCTGGTCCCCTGCCATGTTGTCCCAGCCATCCCTTATGATACCAGTCTGTACCTGCTTCCCCGCACACCTCAACCCTCAGCCCATTCAAAGCAATGGATGACCCAGGCCAGGCCCAAAGAACCCACTTATTGCCTTCGCCCATTGCTGTCTGTTCCGTGGATCAGCTAAGGAATACTTCTAATCGTAATAATAGCTATTATTTACCCAGATATTTCAGGTTTGCAAAATACTTTACATGAGCTAACTTGCTTTATCCTCATAACAACCAAGAGAGGCAGCTAGGTGTTACTGGTATTCCCATTGCACAGGAGAGGAAACCCAAGTACGGGTTAAGTCCATTTCAGTGAGCCTTCTGGAAATGTGTGGGAACTGCTGCTGAGCATTTTATCAAATGACTTTGTGCAGTTTTGCATGAAAATGATCATGTGCTTGAGCTCCAGATGTCTGACTCAACATCGTTATATTGTCTCTCTTGCCTTAGTTATGTCAGCGGGAACTTTGGTCCAGGAGGCAGGCAGCTCTTTGTCATTGGGAGGAGCTTGCTGTTCCTTCTATATTCCTATGAATGGAAGCCTCTCCAGGGCAGGAGCTGCCTTGGCTTCTTCTTTGTACCTTCAGCATTTAGCCCAGTACCTGGCACATAGTAAGGACTTAATCATTGTTTGTTGATTTGACTGATCAAGGTTTAAGGCTAGAAGAGGCCTTAGGTCTTCTGGTCCAACCCTTCCATTTAATAGAAGAGACTGAAATGACTGGCCCAAGGTCATACATGGAGTTAATGCTAGACTCAGGATTTGAACCCAGCTCTTTCCAACTCCAAGGCAAACTCTCAATTTGCTCTTCCATGCATCTCTGTCTCTCAGGTTCAGTTTCTGTTGTTGTTATTCAGACTAGACCTGAGATTTCAATGATTATAAGGAATTCCTATTGAATACTCCCCACCTCCAGCTTGACTCCAACCAAGGCAAATCTCCAATCACTCTTACAGTTTTAGAGAGTTACCTGAGACAGTAATAGTTGAACTGACTTGCCCAGGGGAAGTAAAATCCTTGTCATCCTAATGTCAAGTCAAGTACTTCATCTACGATGTCAGGCTGCCTTTATGTCAGTATCATCATTTATACAAATATCAGCAATTAATGGTAAAAACATGGTACCACTGGAGGAATCAAGAGAAAGAAACTCCTCAAATTTTATTTTGAACCATAGATAAAATTGAATAAAGTAAGAAAAAAATAAATCTTCTAAACAATTCTTTCCATTAGCTAATTTTTTTTCTGTGAAATGGGTATATAAAGCCTCTTTACACAATTCCCCAAAGTCTCCATAGTGGAAAGAACATTGTAGTCAAAGGACCAGGATTTAAAACTTGGTTCTACTTCTCTTTTTCCTGCGTGACCTTGAATGAGTTGCCTCAGTTTCCACATATTTTAAGTGAGGGGACTGGCCTAAATTAGATGATATCTCAATTCCAGTCTAACTCTAAATGCTAGCACCTTCTCATCCCACAGCCTTTGGGACTTGAAATGTGGCCATGTCAGGGAGTCTTGCCAGAATTGTCCAAAACTTCATCTATTGCTGACATACACATCGAGACAGAACAATTATGCTGAGGTTTGAGAAAGGGAAGCCAAGGAATGTGCTGGCCAATCACAACGCAGAAGCCTGGAAAAGTGGGGGTGTCCTCATCCCGAAGATGTTTCCATGAATATCTCACGGGGAGGAGTGCAGAAAGAGCAGGCAATGGTCCACCTCCATCCCTCTCTCTGATAGAGCCAGCAGTGAGAGAGGAGGTTTGGTCTGAAATAACCATCAAGTCAGTCTTCCATCAGTCTCTTCATGGTCCTCTCAGATTCTACAGCTTATACTCTGGTGATACATCATGGAAGGGTGTTAGTTTTCAAAAAGCCCTGGCTAGCAGAGGAGAATGCACTACACATCTCTGACTATGAAAAAGAATGTACTTGGATTAATTATGTTATTTTCTCTTTCAAAAAAAATCACTGTATACATAAACACAATTAGAGAAACAGTCTGGCAATTTTATCTTAGTGAGAACTGACAAACACATGCAAAACAGCTCACTTTCTCTGGAGTTCCAATTTTAAAAATGTATGCCTAGATTTAATTTTATATATAACCCATAACAGATCTAATGATGGTTTATTTTTGGAACTCAGAATCCAAGACCAATTTATCTGTGAGTAGGGTGTAACTAATTAAGTTCATCATTGAGAACTGCATTGTCATGCTCTTGACAATGATCAAATCTGATTTTGCAAGTTGGGGAGATGAGAGAGGAGACAGTCTGCAGCTAAATAATTTGCAAAAACTCAGCAGAGTTGTGTTTTTGAACACAAATTGAATTGCTCCACCTGCAAAGAACAAAGGTTTCAGGCCAAAACAGAAAAAAATGCTCCCAAACTGTTCCCCCCCCAATGTTTAGTCATTTTTTTGGTGTGTCCAATGCTTTGTAACCCTATTGGGGGTTTTCTAGGCAGAGATACTGGAATGTTTTGCCTTTTTCTTCTCCAGTTCATTTTACAGATCAGGAAATGGAGGCAAAGTAAAGTGACTTGCCCAGGGTCACACAGCTAGTAAGTGTCTGAGGCTGGATTTGAGCTCAGGATGATGAGTCTTCCTGACTCCAGGCCTGGCACTTTATTTACTGCTCCACCTAGCTGTTACCCCCACCCCACCCCCACCCTCTACCACACTCTTTTAATAAATTTCTTGGGACATTTTCTTTAGTCCTAGATTTTTCTGATGATTGAAGATTTTCCAAGACCGTAATTATAGGATCTTTAACCTGGGAGATACCAATGAGATCAACTTCTCTTGAAAATTGTTAGGGCCATTAAAATAACTTTGCCGACAATACTGAGCAGAGTCAGTTCTGGAGGGGTGATGGAAAGACTGGCACACTGATGCATTGTTCATGGACCCATGGACTGTCCCAGGCACCATGGAAAACAATTTGCTAGTTTATCAAGGAAGTTTTAAACAATGTCTGTGCCCTTTGATCTAGACATTCCAATGCTAGGCACATATCCAAAGGAGGTCAGCAACATAAAGAAGACTCATAGAAAGGAAAATAACCATCACAGTGCCTTTATTCATGGCAAAGAATTAGAAACAAAGTAGACTTTCCCATAATAGAGAATGGAAAACCCAGTTGTAGTTATCTGGACGCAGTGGGGTATCATTCCGCTATAAGAAATTATGCAAGTAATAAATTAAGATGCTTCTAAGTCAAGAATCTTGGGAAGACATGAAGTGATGCAGAGAAAGAAAAATAATGCACACAATGACTACGTGTCTGGGCAACGTAAATGCAAAGAATAATGCTCTGAGGTTGAGAGTGTCGCCATTGGAAGGATGAGGCACGCCGAGGACATTGAGGCTTGACTGGATTGTTAGAGGAAAAGGCTCTCCCCATTTGTATGGCCCTCCTCCTCTTGAGTTTGTCTTTGAATCCCAAGCAGCTAGCTCAGAGCCTAGAGCACAGTAGCACTTGATAATTGTTTGTGACTGATTCATGGCTCCTAGAAGTAGAGCTGGAAGGAACACTAAAGGCCACTTGGTCCATGCCTGTGTTTCAGAGAAACCAAGACCCAAGGAGGCTGGGATGTTCCCAAGACCATGCCAAGAGCAAGTGATGGCATCAATATTTGAACTCAGACGAGGCCTTGTTGCTAAAGCTTTAGCACATGGTAGGTGCTTAATCAATGCCTCTCTCCTCTGGGGAGTTGATTCTGAATCTGGCACTCTTCAATTCTTCTCCTGCTCTTTGCCTACATCACACTGGTTGATTGTGATTCTGTTTGTAAAGCTCTTAACACAGTGTCTAGCACACAGTAGGCACCATAGAGATTCTTATTCCCTTCCCTTCTTTTCTTCTCCTTTCCCTTACTAAAACGCATTGAAGCACAGCTAGCATTGTGTATTTTGTTTTGTTTTGTTTTCAGTCAGTGAACTGAGATTCTAATAGGTCATGATTCCAATCCAGGAGTAATGGAATTCAGAACTGGAAAGGTCCTTAGAGATCATCTAATCAACCTCCTTCATTTTATAGAAGGTGAAACTGAGGTTCAATTAGTCAATAAGTCAACACTGATTAAAGTGTACCAGACACTGTGATAAGCACTGGAGATACAAAAAGAGGCAATAGATAGCTCCTGCCCTCAGGAATTTACAATCTAGACAAGTTAAATAACTTGGCCAAAGTCACATAGTTGATAAAATGAGAGTATAGCTTTGAACCCTAGTCTTCTAAAGCCAAACTCAGTGTTTTTTCCACTGTGGGGCAACTGAGGCCCAGGGCCGTGGAGAGTTACCCAAGACCAAGTTTTCTATGTCATAGCAACATTGTGTGTTGTGCATATGTTCATATTCTACAATTTACTTTGATGCTAGACAAGAACACAAGTGTAAATGTACCCCCCAGGCTCACCCGAAGCCTCAGGGACACATCCTTTCCCGTATTCCACCTTATTCTCTGAAGAAAGTAGAGGAAGCCTTAGCACGGTTTCCAGATGTAGTTTCTTGGTCTGCCAAGGTCATTCTGAATATGGGATGACTGCCAGATGAATCTTTGTCTCAGCTAACACTGGACTGGGGCCCAAATGCCACTTCTGAAGGTCATTCCTCACTCCTCAGTTCATTAATGCCGGACTAGGTGCAAACCGCAGCAGATGTAACTCCAGGACACCGGCATGCTGGGACCACCAGGAGCTACTTTTCTGACCTTTTGAAAGTCACAAAGTTGGAATATCTAATCCCTTCCCTTCAATAGGAAAGAACAAGCTGGAGGCAAAGGTCCACAGCCATTTCTCAAGGACACACGTTGACCTCACAGGGAAGTGGGCTTTTGCTCATACATTGCATTTCTCACGGCTGTCCACAGAAGCATCAAACCAAGAGAGCAGCTGAAGAGAATCTCTCACAGAAATATCATGAACAAAGCATTCTCTGAGCCTTAAAGAGCACTTATTCTCAGGCCAGGCCATACTCTTTCTGTTAAGCCAGACTACATCAGCTTCAATGCAGAGATCCACAAAAGCCTTGGACAGGACTTGGCCTGATAGACTGTGGACAATGCCTGGCTTTTACTACATCTTAAACCTAGTCATATTTTCTTGGTAATTTAAAATTGAATAGAAGTTGCATTAACCTACTGCCCTAGTCCATTGCAGCAGCTTTGGGGTGGGGGACTTGGAGATGTCTACAGAAGAAGCAAACCAGCAATGATGCTAACAGCCACAGGCCCTTTGTGATGGACACGTTTTACCTTACAAAGCCCTTCAAATTAGACAATTGAGGTAGTGGGAGGTGGGAGCCAGGAGGAAGAGGAAGGCAAGGGAGGAGATACTGGATTGCTGGGATCACTGTTGCCTCAGATAAAATGATGCAAGTAGGATATTCCCAAGCCAGTGTGACCATCTTTAAGTCAATGAGAGAAGAAGGGAATTTGGTGATCAGACTCTCAGTTAATCCTCCATTTAACGACTGAGCTGTGACTCCATTTGGGGCTTTCTTGGCAAAGATCCTGGGGTGGTTTGCCATTTCCTCTCTGGCTCATTTTACAGAGGAGGAAACTGAAGCAAATAGGGTGAAGTGACTTGCCCAGGGTCACACAGCTAGTAAGAGTCTGAGGCCAGATTTGAACTCAAAACACTAAATCTTCCTGACTCCAGGCCCAGCGCTCTATACACTGTGCCACCTAGCTGCAGAATTAATATTTACAAAAACAGAAAATTCTCAAGTTAGAAGAACAAGAAATAGAAATAGAAACAACCCTATTTCAGAAAAAGAAATTGAATGAGCTGCAGATTAAATGCCAGAAGGAAAACTAAAACAAAAGCAAAAAAAAATACAAAACCAGGACCAGGTAGATTCACAAGCAGATTCCAGCAAGCATTTGAAGAACGCTTAATGCCAATGTTAAACAAACTGCAAAAATAGAAAAGCAGGGACCTGACTAAATGCCTTCTAGGATACAGCTATGGTCTTTATTCATAAACCACAAACCAGGTAGATTCAAAGCAGAGAAGGGAAATACAGCCTAATGTCTCCAGTAAATATAGACATAGAGTTTACAAAGTCGAGACCGAGACAGTCCCCAGCGCAGGACATGGAGTCGGCCAAAGTTCCTGGCGCTCAGTAAATAGTGAGGGATGGAGGTTGTTGTGGTGGATAC